TTCTGAAATTGGTATTTGTAATGATGAGAAATTATTGCTGGTTTGTATTTTGTTTAAAATTTTCTCTTATTTATATGAAAAAGTACATAAATTGTTGTTTACAGGGAAATTGTCCTTTGGAAAAACAAATGTCAACTTTAAAATTATTATTGAATTTTATCAAGTGTATATTTAATGAATCCTCTGATACTGAGTTTAATGAAAAAGAGACTATTAATGATATATTAAATGTATGCAAATTAAAGTTTTAAAGAAATGTATATGTAATTTACATATTTACAGACTTTTTTTTATACCAGGTTTATATGAATGAAGATCCAAATACAATAACATCTAGCATTGAACCAAAATTGAATTACTCTGAATCTATGCAATATTTTGATAATTTGCAAAAATATTTAAATGAATATCAGGTTTCATCTTCTACTTGTGAATATAGGGAGGAAAAACATATAGAAGAATATCTTTCTGAGGTAATAGTACTATGAAGTTATACCTTTTTCCATGGTTAAGTAATATATGAAAAATATTATAGGGTGAAGAGAGTAATAGAATTGATCAAGATTTGTTATTCAATAAAGAAAAAACAGAATTCATAGAAGCATTTTCAACAATTGAATCATGGCCAGTGAATAATACAAAAAATATGAATAATTTGTATTCCATGGATGCTGACATCAGTGATATATATTTTAATTTTTCTTCTTTAAAACAGGTTTAACATATTTATATATCTCCTTCTATTCATATAATATATATACAAGATGAGACATTTAAATGGAAACTCTTGTAGGTGGTTGAACTTGTCATTTTTCCCTCTATAAGAATATGAAAAAAAATACATAGTTCCATTTAAAAAAAAACATTGATGACTTTGAAATCTTATAAAAAGAAAATGACCTTGCATAAAAATCTTTTTTACCATTACACATGCCCCTTAACATAATGCAAGTTTGTCTTAAGTTTTTTCATACAACCATTTATTATTCCCATTTAAATGTCTCACCCAGTATATTCTGATTGTTTGTTTCGTTGAGATTTTATCGATTCATTATTTTATTTAACAATAAGTTTACTGAATTTTTTACAATCAATTAATTTTTAGTTTCTGCAAGTAAAGGAAGAAATATCAAATGTCAATGTACCAAAAGAAATAAAGAAGTTAAACACTGTACTCAGTGAAATTATCGAAGATACCGTTACCCACACTGAGAAAGCGAAAAATGTGTGTATGGACACTTACTAGTATGTATTAATTATTTTAAGTGCTTTTTAAAAATATGAACTTCTATATTTGCATTTCATAAAAATAAAAATTTATAAAGGTATTAATAAAACACTAATTTATTTAAAAATCTTTATGGGCTTATCAGAAATACATGACAATGATATTTTAAGACCTGGGTCGTTCTTTCTTTTCTTTGTAAAGTGCGAGTAACGAAACATTAGCAACTTTCACTACTTTAAATCGAACTCCTGGAATGTCACCAACAGCATGACCTTTACGACCAAATCCCGCTACCAACACTTCGTCGTTTTCTTCAATATTGTTTAGACAACCATCCCTAGGTACAAAAGCTGTGATTTTCTTGCCATTTTTGATCAACTGCACTCGCACACATTTGCGAATAGCAGAGTTTGGTTGCTTTGCTTCTACGCCTCTATAAGATAAAATCGCTGAATCAAAATACTTATATCAAAGATTTAAAGAGATTAGTAATATAAATATACATACACTTTTTCTAAAACGATACCCTTAGCATGGGAAGCGCCACCGAAAGGATTAGCCTTCCATCTTGTTCCCAAGTGAGCCTTTTTGTAGTCCTTATCATTCCAACGTTGATCGCGTCTATGATTTACATGCTTACGTGCAGTACGAAGACCACGAGGTTTACCTATAAATAGTATCAAAAAATTAGGTTATGTATTGTACTTATTAGATTTCTTATATTTCCACTTAGTTTGATTTCCTATTTGTATTCCACATTATATAACACGTTTAAAAATGTTATCAATTATAGAAGTACAAATATGATATTAATAACGATTGCATTGAATATTTGATTATGTCGAATACTATTCACATGTAACCACGTTAGTTTCAAGATAAATTAAAATACACTGTTTAAGAATTTGCTATTACATATTTAAAGAAATTGTAGTTCAGCGTATTAAAATATCAGTGAGACCATTACACATTTAGCAATTTATATTTTACACTTTTAAAGCTATAATTTTAACATTGATCACATACCCATCTTGCTCGGTGTGCAATACGACCGGAAGAGACCTAACTTTCATTAACGGAAATCTGAACATAAATTTTGGAGGCACATTTAAAAAAAAAAACGTTTGCTGTAATATCAGTAACAAAAGTATTTTATAAAAAATTGCAATAATATATAATATTTTATAGATATGTGTTACTTTCAGTTTGTATCTTTTTGTATTACACTTACGCGAATGTAAAGTGTTATACACAAATATTGCAAAAAACACAGAACATTATCTTTTGTATTTAAAAAATTAAAGAATATCATGTTCTTTGTTAACAAGTGCTTTAAAAAAGGATATAGCTGAATAAGGGGCTCAAAAGTGCTCTTAAATTAAATTGGTCTTACGATGGACTATTTAATAGCTTACCTAAGAAGAAATATTTGACACCAAGTTTTAACCCTACATCTTAATGGTAGGCAGAGAGGAGGGAAGATTAATAACAGGGAAAATTCATATTATCCATTTTAGCTCTCTTTTTCCTATTTAGTGGTACACAACATTGAAAAATATCTGGGGCATTGTACAAACGAAGACATATATTAGGGAATTTTTTTCAATTCTTTCGTTGCAAATCCTATTTGTAAAAATTAAAAACGTCAAAAAATGAGGGTTTTAACAATAACCATATATTTCACAAGCAATAAATAACAATGAACAGACTTAAACTTTCCTCTTTCTGCGCCATGCTATTTTCTTCGTAATATTCCTAAGGCGGGAAAAAGTCTTGCGCAGCCATAGTGCGCTGTTATCGACGCCCATTGCGCATTTTCATGTAGCGGTCGCTACAAAACTCAGTGTACTTGTGAAACTTTTTTTATGAAAACGCACCAAATATCTCGTGGATGTGATTACATATCTTGTACATACGAAATTTTCATGTATTTAATAGTATAGTTATTACTTGTTAAGTGGTAAATAAAACGGTTAATTTTTTTGTAAGTACATACACTTTTATAACAACATTTCATAGTTATAATAACAATGTGTTTATAACATAATAATACATATGTATGTAATTAAAATGACTACATTAAAAATGTTGCTAACTTTTTATTTTCAAAACTGTAGAATAAATCTGCATTACTGAATTTTGTAAAAGGTGAATAAAGATTATAATATAAAATGTATAATAATTAACCAAAAATGAATGAGGATTAAACGATTTATGAATTTTTTCATAGATGACTGTATTATTTATATTTTTCAGGGAAAGGCATAATTACATATGTTTATTATAGCCAGGTATTTTAGAAAATTAATGTACAATTGGTAACATTTTCCTGCAATTTTTGATTTGTACATAACATGGCTTTCAGAACATTCTTACATTTAGGTGAAAATGCATGTAAATGGTAAGATTCATCTTGATTTCATAAATTCTTATTATATGCATTAGTAATTTTAAATTATATAATTGTTCCTATGTAATATTTTTTCAGTATTTTTGCAACTGTACAGTTTAAATCTAAATCACACGTAGTTGACCAATATAAACAAGTTAGAAATTTTTATAAATTTAGAGGTAAAACAAAAGTAATAAAGACCCATTTACCAAATGGTTCTTCAAAAACACAACCAGAGCATATTGGGAGTTTGTGGAAACCATTAACTTTTACAATTATGGTAAGTAAAACTAAGATACCATTTGTGTTTATAATGAATTAATCTAAGCATAATTCATTTTTTTTACATCATAAGTTTCACTGTTTTCATCAACCCAGTTTAGTGGAACAACATTTATTGGTGCTGCCATTTGGGAGTATGAGCGTATCAGAGAAAAAGCCTATAAGATGATTAGAAATTACGCGCAAAGGAGAATACATGTTTGTATATTGAAACTTATTTATGTAAATTACAATGTTTAATCAATATTATCAGAATGTTAATTACATTTAGCGAACAGGATGGCGATATAAAATGCACACTTGGTGGAACAACTTGTCAGAAGGGGAAAAAATGTTTGCTCCTATATGTTTCTTAAATGTATTAGTATTTTTATCATGGCGCATACCCGCATTTCGACCAACAATGTATCGATATTTCTGCAGCAATTCTGGTAAATAGACAATATTTTCATATATATTCATTAATAGGTAGCTACAAAAGGATATTATACTCTATGCTTTTGATCAAGGTGCATCATGTTGGCCAATGCTATTCCTAACATTTTCTCATTATTCCCCTTTTCATTTACTTATCAACATGTATGTATTGTACAATTTCTCTACTGTTGCTGTGTCAACACTGGGTAGAGAACAATTTATGGCACTTTATTTAACTAGTGGTGTGGTATCTAGTTTTTCAAGCTTTTTATATAAAGTTGCATTTGGTATAACAACACCTTCCTTAGGAGCTGTGAGTATTATTAAACATAGAAACTTTTAACATATTGTTTCAAATGTAACAATATTATATATACTACTATTAATTACTCGTTTGTGATATAGTCAGGAGCATTAATGGGTATCCTTGGATTTATATGTACTGAAAATCCAAATATGTATCTGACTATTGTTTTTCTTCCTATGTGGAAATTTACAGCAAATACAGTACGTTGGTATTGTAATTTTAGTAATATAAAAATTTATTTTTATGAATTAGCTTGTGTAATTAGAAGTATTAGTAGTACATAAGAAGTATTTGTGATTAGGCTATTAAAGCTGTAATGGGACTGGATGCCTTAGGATGTCTTTTGCGTTGGCGAATATTTGATCATGCAGCACATTTGGGTGGAGCATTATTTGGAATGTAAGTGCATTTATATGAAACTTGCAAAAAATCATATAATTCTTCTGTGTTAATTATAGATTTTGGCATGCATGGGGTAATGCTAACATATGGCAAAAACGTGAACCAGTATTAATGCTTTGGCATCAATTTCGTGAACCACCTAGGTCTCATTAATACTTGTAAAAGAAAAGAAATAAATGTATTTTGTCTTTTATAATCATTATAAAAAGCAATTGAAAATTAGAAAATAAGGAAGAATGGAGTAAGTGATTCATACTGTTATAAGTACTTTATTTAAAGTTGTTTCCTAGTTAGAAAAATGATATTACATGTTTTATCATATAAATGTACATTATTACAAATTTATTTTCGATATCAAAGAAATAAAAAAAAGAAGTACATATACAGAATTAAGATTTAAGATATTTTACATGATGTTTAATATGATCTTCAATAAATGTAGATATGAAAAAGTAACTGTGATCATAACCTTCTTGAAACCTAAGAACTAATGATAATCCAGCATCTTTTGCAGCTGACAATAAATTTTCTGGCAATAATTGTCCATCTTTCAAGAACTTATCCTCCTTTCCCTAAAGGTACACAATACATTTCATTTATTATAAGTTTTTATCTTAATTATTATAATATGATTTATCTCAATTGTTATAATATTATACCTGATCAACTAAAATATCCAAAGGGGGTCCATTATATTTTTTAGCTAATTCTGTAGCATCCCAATCTTTCCATGCAACATTAGTTTCTGTTCCACCCAGATAACCGGAGAAAGCTTTCTTACCCCATGAACATGCAATCGGATTACTTATAGGTGCAAAAGCTGAAACTGTTTTGTATAAACCAGGATTTTTTAGAGCACAAATTAAGGCTCCATGTCCTCCCATACTAGAAATAAAAACATTTTGTGTCTGCAAAAACTAAAAATTTCTGTACAACTAATTTTCAAAATAATTATCATTAAATTATTTTTTATTTTACCTATGACCCATTATAGATTGCTTGCATTGTAAAACGGGAAATTTTTCATTAATCAAAGCTGGTAACTCTTTAGTAACATAACTGTACATTCTGTAATTTTTCTTCCATATGTTATTTGTTGCATCAACGTAAAAACCTGCACCAGTACCAAAATCCCAATCATCATCTTCTCCAGGTATATTGAGATTGCGAGGACTTGTATCAGGTGTAACTAAAACTACTCCTTGTTCAGAAGCATATTTTTGTGCACCTGCTTTTTGAATAAAATTAGCTTCTGTACATGTTAAACCAGATAACCAGTAAATAACAGGTACAGGTCCTTCCTCTACTTGTGGTGGTAGGAAAATTCCAAAATTCATTTTACATCCCAATTCATAGCTGCATCATAAAATATTATTCAGATAATTTTATGTTTATAATTAATAAATACAAAATTACAGTACCTTTCGTGCAAATAGACTTTTTGCCATCCACCAAAAACTTTATTGTTAGAAACCTCAGTAATGTCAGGCATCTGAAAATATATTTCAACGTTAAAACTAAGTATATAAGTGTATTTTTTAACTATTTTCTATGATATTACTTGAACATTATCATTTGTGTGTCAAAGGGTTAGATACCGTAAATGAAGAAAGAAAGTCACCCGGTATATATTTTTTCTTGTATTATTAAAAACAAAACATATTAATCTTATTAAATTAATTTCTTTTCTTATTTTTCTTCAATTTTATAACATATTTAAAATTAAATTAAACATTATTTTAAGTAACATACCTTGTATTATGAAAAATTACGTACAATATATATGTTTTCCTACAGACTTTGGATAGTTATGCGACTCGTGACATAATAAAAATATTAGTTATATCTTATCGTATCGATTGATAACAGTTTTCCAAAACATTCATATGCGTTTAATTTGTGTTACAAGTTTATGAATTATTTTAATAAGGGAAAATAATTTAACCTCAATTTAATTAACGATTTTTAATGAATGCTTTATGTATTATTTGAAACTAATTTTTAATGAAAAATAATACC